ACGAAGGAATATTTCTTCTACTATGGATCCTTCTCAATTAAGGATGGCTCGGAAATTAGACTCTAGGAGGATAAGGGGTTAGGAAATACCACACTCCGGGAACAATATCCGACTCTATACAACATTGTGCGCCACAAGAGTGACACTATCGCCACGGTAATGGATTCATTTATGCCAAAATGTGATGTTTAGAAGAGATTTAGTTGGACCAAGACTCCATTCGTCGAACATCCTGTCTAGCGGTTGTCCACGGTGCAATTGTCACATGGGTCTGATATATTCCGATTGAACATCCAAGGGAATGGACAATTTTCAGTGGAGTCTATGTATAGAGCGTTAATCCAGTCTGATGTGCTAGTTGTTAATAATAAGAAGATCTAGAAGATGAAGATACCTTATTAAGAGGAATTGGGATGGAAGTCCGCAATGTGTCTTTTGTCACCATGGTGAGACGATAAAACATTTATTCTTCCAATGCAAATTGGCTCATTTTATATGGTTAGTCATTGAAATAGCTTCTGTCTTGTATCCTCCTTGTAGTGTGATAATGTATCTGGCAACTGGTTACATAAAATTGATCACAGGTTTAGAACTCTTCTCAGGGTGGGAGCACTTTCTGTTATTTCATCGCTTTGGCTATGTAGAAATGATAAGGTTTTTAATGATAAAAGTACTTCTGTGATGCGGGTTATCTACATATGTACCAGGACTCTTCGTTTATGGTCCTATCTACAACGCTTGGAGAATCGAGACCTATTTACGGATGTGTGTACATGATTGGAGGTTACGGCAAGGGATACTTTTACTCAACATGGGTGGCAGCATGATCTTAGGAGTGGCCCCCTCCACTCTAGGCGTTATACGAACTCTTCATGTTTGTTTGTATTTCGTCTTTTTATTTTTTGTTTGTGTGAGAGAACCTTGTTTGGTCGTGTGCATTTTAGTTATACAGAAGCCGGATGTAATGCTTAATAAAGCACCTTTTTTTGAAAAAGAAAGTCATCCGTGAGTGTTTCATGTGAGGTTTGTAATTTAAGCGTTTACCCTGTTTTTCTCTAATTAATCGAACAACTCTCTTATTTTTTTGCCTTGTTTCAAATAAAAGCATTGCGAAAATAAAGATGCTAGTACAGAAAACATGATCCTGGATTGTCTATGGTGTGCTCAACCTTTTATTTTAGATGTAAACAAAGATAAAGCAGCGAGCTAATTTAGTTAATTACAAGTTTATTTTTGAAGGTCGCGGATCAAACACTTATGCAGATAGATTAATTAAGTTTTCAAACTCTCTTGATCAGGGGCGGCACCTTTGGTTGATTCATTCCCATGATTCTTTGGTTGATTCATGTGGACCATGATCAATAAAGCTTAGAGATACCTAAAATATTTAAATAATAAGTTTCACACGAGTGGCATAAAGTAACACTGCCCTAATATTTTTATAACTAAAATTGCCATAAAAACCAAAAAAAAGCTAAAACTTGTCATCCAAATAGAAAGTTGTCATGCTTCACAACTAAAGTTGCCATCCTCGCATAGCTAAAGTTTTCATAAAAAAACATCAGGACGAAATTGCTTCATGTCACACGTGTGACACTTATCAGGGTAAAAAAATGTAAAGGGAGTTTTTTTGTTGTTGTTGAGAACATCCAAACGGATTTATTCATGGACTAACAAAGAGCATTTCATGTCGAAATCACTAATTAAGGAGTACTCGTTGCAAAGAACACTTCACTTTCCCAGGTCGCGACAAGTGGTGCACATGCAGCGCGCCATTTGTCGCAACCTGAAAATTTTCCCTTTTTTCGTAGATCTGTTTATTCAAAACGTTTTATCTCTTAAACCGTGCGTCCAAATCTCGAACCGTTTTCACCATTGGATTCCTCGCGTCGAGATCTTCAAAACTAGATCTCATGTTGATAGGTTTTGACAAACTTTTTTTTCACAAAAAAACCGGACGAAAAAACCGAACCGGGAGCATAGTTGTTTTCCCTTTCCGAAAGAGGCACACCCGTGCCTCTCGCGAAATCACAACCGTACCTCTCGTGGAAGCAAAACCGTGACTCCCGTGGAAGGAAAAAAACAGAAAACGCGTTTTTTTCCGTTTTCGAGAGGCACAACCGTGACTCTCGCGAAAGCACAACCGTGACTCTCGCGAAAGCACAACCGTGACTCTCGCGAAAGCACAACCGTGACTCGTGAAAGAAAAAAAACAGAAAACGCGTATTTTTTCCCTTTCCGAGAGGCACGACCATGACTTTCGCGTAAGCACAACCATGCCTCTCGCGGAAGCAAAACCGTGACTCTCACGAAAGAAAAAAAAATAAAAAACACGTTTTGTTTTTCCCTTTCCGAGAGGCACGGCCGTGACTCTCACAAAGCACAACCGTGCCTCTCGCGGAAAAAAACCGTGGCTCTCGCAAAAGAAAAAAAAACAGAAAATGTGTTTTTTTTCGTTTTCGAAAGGCACGGCCGTGACTCTCGATAAAGCACAACCGTGCCTCTCGCGGAAAAAAAACCGTGACTTTTACGAAAGAAAAAAAAGAAAACGCGTTTTTTCGCGCAAAAAAAATTCAAAATTTTTTTGATCAAAAAGCTAAGAAAGACCGGGCGAAAACCAAAATGTCCAAAAAAATCGGAAAAAAACCCGTTTAAAAAGCCAAAAACGCGTGTAGAAAAATAAAAAAACAAAATTCAAAGGAAGCATCCAGAGCGCGACACGTGGCGAATGTCTGAGAATACGCCAAGTGACGCTGATCGTTGCGAGGCTTCCGAAGGAGCGCTCGTTAACTAGTTGCTCCCATCTCATGTCCCTAAAAAAAAGAGCTTCTCATGGGCTACGAACGGGCCACGACTAAAAACAGATTCAGCGAGAGCGATGGGCTGCTCTCCGCGGGGTCCACGTCGCCGCTCGCCTCGCCAGTCGTTTTTTCTCGTGGCCCCTGAATTTTCCCCTCCCTTCTCCGCAGCATTTCCGTCGCCCTTCTTTTAACCAGCAAACCCTCCACGGTGTTTTTATTTTCACCTCCTCACCACACAATCCCCTTCTCCGTCTTCCCGCGGATTCTCAGGCCAGCTTCCGGTCGCTCCCCGCCTCCTCCGGCGGTAATGGTTGCTCGCCTGCCCCGCTTTAATTCTCTGTCATTTTAGTTAGTTCCGGTTGAACGGATTGATTATCTGTATCTGTCCGATCCGGCATGTTGAGTATTTGGCTGTCTGGGGTTGGGATTTCTGTTCCGTGTCCTTTCCAAGATTTTCACTAGGCTGGGTTGTCGACTGTCCAGAAATGGCCGGATTTGTGCGTGGACCTTTCATGAGCTACTGGTTATGCATATCCTACTATAATGCTAAGCAATCACTAGGTGTGACGCAGTAATGTAATCGACATCTGGTTTAGCACCAGATCGACAGGGCAATTCATATTATTACGATGAAGCAGTATGTTAGAGTGTTGCAGTAGCTTGTAAAATTTCGACTTTAAATTCAGTAATCGTTGGAAGAAATAGAGAGGGTTTCTGTGAGTACTAGCAGTTATTTTGTTGCAATTTCCTAGGAAGATATAGTAGTTTTGGAGCCCTGAGCACCTGTCTCTTGGCTGACCAAATCATTCTCTATTGTAGATTTGAGTTACCCGCGGCTTCTGAAATCTTCTCCTGTTGCTGGAGAAATGCGTGAGCAGCTTGCCGCAGCTTGATGAGCGTTCAGCCATGCCGACGCTACACGGACCCGTTCTGTTCGTCAGGCCCGGTGCTTACCAAGAGCTGAAACCGTTCCCGAAAAACGCCGCTGGTTCGTGTAGCAATTTATTGGGTTGCAACACAATTTGTAGTTCCGTCGAAGACCATCATGTACAGAAACCACACATTGTTTCCAGCTTCAGAGTTAACTTTACCAGAGTCAGCCATTATCTTCAGAGAAGCTTAAATGAGAGAACTACACGGCACTGGCTGGTACGGTATGCTTTTCCACTGACCACCTATTCTTCTCAAAACTCAATCACTATTTGTTTACGTTCGAACGATTGTGTTGGGCGCAGCATCGGTTTCATGTTAATGCTTCATCGGACGAGGACTTCCGCTCGTCGCGTAATATAGCAACCAGCCTGTTCAAGCAGTATAAGAATGTCATTGATCGAGGAGGTGGAGATAACATAAAAGTATTGGTTCTTGTTGGTTCTTGTTGAGATTCTTCACTGGTGTTCTTGACATACCTTCTGTCTGTAATCATTATGTCGCCTTTTAATGTTTTGCAGGGGTTTGTTAGTGCTGGGGTGCAAGCATATGCCCTAGGCTGTACAGAAGAGGGGCTTAGAAAGGAACTTATGGATATAAAAAATTCTGGTGTCAAGATCGAAGGCCTGCAATCCTATGGAGGAACAAGCTTGAGCTTCAAAGTTCGTTCTTTTGAGGTTAGCATGCTCAAATATATAAATTAGTCTGCTTCAGCTTTTTCACTACAGTATCTTTTATCTTCATATGTCTTGCATTGCAACTATGCTCTGCTCTGAAGTATTCACAGTTTTACACTCAAACCAATGAGCTTGCTTTGATCCATTCCGTCACCATGTCTTTACTTTCTTCTGAATCTTTTAATGACTGTCGGTAGATGAAGTCCGATAAGTGACATTGGCAAGATATATGAAGTTTGACATATGGTATCATATAGCCCAGTAGAGGACATTGTTCATTGTGCAAAAACCCTTGACGAGATCTTCGGGCATTTCGTTTCCATTCGTCTCAAGTCTCAACGATGATTTTTTTTTCATTAACCATAGGTAAAGGAGTGCATCCTGTGGCTCAGTATAGTGTTCATTACAATCTTGTGCACGCCACAGCCGACGGTCATCAGGTGGTCTACCACCCCACCGGTGTCGGCGGATGTCTTGCATCAGTGGAAAGGATTTTGTGCCCTGATAGCAAACGCTTACTACACCAAGGGCATGGCATGGTAAGAATGTTTTATCTGTCGATGCTTTCTTTCTTTTATCTTATAATATCCTATACAGTATTATATACTACTCCCTCTGTCCCTTAATATAAGATGTTTTTGCAGTTCAATTTGAACTGCAAAAACGTCTTATATTAAGGGGCAAAGGTAGTACTCACTACTGATCAAATCCAACGCGGACGAAACTTCGACGCAGGCTACCAGTGAAAACATTGCAGCTGGAACAGATGGCTGTGACAGGCAGTTCGGAGGAGCCATCGCTAGTAGCAAGTCGGATGCAGTTAGTTTTCAGTACATTAGAGGTTCGTAGCAGCAATCATTGAATCTCTGGAAACTAGTCAAGTGAAATTACATCCTCACTGGTTTGCCTGGTTCTTGTTCAACTCTGTAGGTAGTCAGCCCCCAATGGCCAAGAGTGTGATGGAGGGAAGAGCAAGCAATATGATCATACAAAGGCCTGCAAGTCTACAGAACCCATGCCACATCCAAAGCCAGGGACGATTCTTCTTTCTCTAATGTGAATGTACTGAAGAAACAGGTCTATTGCACTGAAGATTGTGAAATATTTGGTAAATACATGTATATAGAACCCACAGCTGCTGTAAATCTTCGTCTTCAGCTACGATATAATGGAACCGAACATGTATGTGACTGCTACACCTCTCTGGTTCGCACACTTTTTTGCCGTTTAGTTTGCTAGACATGCGTCGAATTCCTCAAGAATTTGTCTTGGTCTTTCTGGCGTTATGATTTTAGCGCTAGCAGATTACTTCACTTCTCCTTTTGTACAAAACAAATGGGCTCACAATACTTACTACTGTCATTGGATTTCTAACTATTAGCACGTTAGCTGTTTTACAAACAACATGTCTTGTAAAGTTTCATTTGCGTGTAGTGTACCTTTCACAAAAGAGAAGCAATAAATACCCAGGACATTTTGACACTGTAAACAGAGTTTACCATCCATGATATTTCGAAGCTTTTTGGCATAATGGACACAAAAATCACACCCCATGAGGCTCAGCTAGATCAACGCAGTTTCATCGCAAGCCATTAGCCCATTCCCTGCCCCTGGACCAAGACATGATAGAATAAGAGAGAACCAGAACTTTATACCAGGATTTACAAACTTCATAGCACATCATCGGTACTCTCGACACCCTTTTTTTCCCTTTCAATATGATGAAGACTCTGAGGATTAATTATGTATCTATGTCCCACAAGTGCCCTTCACATTTCACGATAGTTGCTGCTAAAGGTACATGGTGATATAAATTAAAGAGTATTTTCAGACTAACACCAAAAAAAAGGGGTGAAAAGCTACAATATGACATAAAACATTCCCTGTTGGAGCCACCTGCTGCTCCATGCCTTGAAGTAGACGGTGCCCTAGACCCTGTTGTATCCCACGTTTTTACTGAACAGGCGGTGGATGTAAACGACTTGCAACGCACTGGCGGCCATGAAAGCCGCGTACTCTGCCATCGTGTAGAACATGACACGCCTTCTGGTGCTCTCGTTTGCTGGATTCAGTTGGCCATGAACATCACCATCATCACAAAAATCATATGAAGATAGGGTAAATGTAAAGACAGCAAAGCAATAAAAGGATAATGAGCAGTATCCTTGGCAGCTTGGATGTGTTAAATATCAATAATTCCCCTGTTATTCTCGGTGTCTAATTTGACTCTGGTGTTTTTCAAACTAAAGAAAGAAACTGAGATAGGCAGGTTAAACAAAATAAGTTTGAATATTGTTCCCTATTCAAGATCAAGTAGTCACCATTGAACGACACACTGCTATGGTGCGGGTAAAAGAAAATATGCCAATTCTACAAGGGAGTATAACTGGAGAGAAGGAGGCTTAAACTCCAATGGAAATTAGTCACTGCCTCCCCACTTAAGAAACCATGCACATGCAAGTGTTCCAACTGTCCTAGTGCATTTCCTTCAGAAGTTCGGGTATTTTTGACTAGTTGCTAGCTTTAGAAATTTAGTTGACACCCTTTGACTAGTTGATAGCTTTAGGAATTATCTCCATCTTATCTTTAGGAGTCTACTGCCTCTATAAAAATAAATCTCCTTCATTAGTTCATCCCTGCCCATGAGGCATGGCTGCCATCAAGCCGACGTCATGCCTCTTGCAGTTTAGTTTAGTATCATACTTCACTTAAAAAGTCTAAGTACTGGGTGGATCAGAGTAAACTCACAGGAAATTTATGTACTCTATACATGGTTAACAGGGCCATACAATAAGGCCAAAATCACTAGATAACATCTACAGAAGAAAGTTTATGAAGCTTACTGTGTCGGTGACGAGCATCACGTGCTTTTAGGTACTTCTGCTCAGCAGTGACAGATTCCAGTGCTTCCTTCAGCTCTGCAATTTTCACATTGATAGGGTCCAAGTGCTCTGGAACAGGAACAAAAAAGTGTTAAAACTGAAGGAATCAGAAGTTGAGAACAGATATCTTGATGAACTAGCAAGCCTAAGATCACATAAACCAATCAAACTGATTGTTGCTCAATACACACATTTTTTTTTTAAAAGAATAGGCAGATGCTGAAAATCTCAAGGGACAGTCAGTACACTGACCATCTTTCGCCAAATTGTGCTCATTGGGTATGTGCCCAACATGAATGTAGAAAGAAACAGTTTCAGGTGCCCCATATGGATTATGGAAGCAAAACTTGTACATTCCACCCCTTGGAGCTTTGAAGTCAAATTTGTCACCAGACTTTCCCTTCATCGTATATACGGTGTTACCACCTGGTGAAGTTACCTACATTGATGGAAAATGCACTTGGACTATCAGAAGAAGTTGATGGATTGTTAAGTGAACGTAATAATATACTTAAGTACTGACATAAAATGCAGGCTTACAATTCAATATTTCACAAGTGAACATAACAGATGCAACCAGTGCAAAATTAGTTTTGCTAGTATGTATACTATAACAAAGTAAATGAAGAAAAGAGGAGTGGATAAGTCTTCGAAATAGATCAACTTTATTAAGAAATAAATAATTCTTCACATGGGAAACAAAAATGACACATCCCAGCCAAAGTAAGAAAATCAGAGTAGTAATACACTATGTAGGATGGACTCCAATATTTTCCAGTAGCCAACAGCATTGTTGGTCATAAGGAGAAACAAATAATATATGCACTGGCGTAAAACAAACCAGCATTTTTCTCAACACATGAACTATAAACCATCTAATATAGCTGGAGTGAAGTCAACTGTGTTCATATGCTGATGCTAGTATCGAGGTGAAGCAAAAACAAGTTGATGTTTAATTTGCCTCATCAATCATCTACAAAATGCCTACGCTAACTAGCAATACTGCAAGACCAATTCATTTAGCATTATTCTCAACCAAGTAGGATGAAAAACATACACGTCTGAGTTCCAAACAAAATTTTTACAGGTTTCTTCTTCCAAAGAGAACTGTAGGAATTCCTCACTGCTAATAGTAATGCACAAACAGGCTTCTAATTTGCAGATCTTAGACAATAATGGGTAAGAATTGATTTTTGCCCTCTACTACAAAACAGGTCATTTAGCCATTTAAACTTTGGGAAGAGGTTTTCCCACGTTTGCTGCTTATGCAACATCCCAGCATGACAGGAAGCAACTCTTTGGAGCCTTCTCCACTGATGTGATTTTTTCCGAGTTCAACTGTTTTGTTGTTTTAGTAAAACTGAATCACTGTAGCAAAATATTTCAGTGTTTTGCTGACCAGTTCGGCCTGGGTTCTCTACTTGAGTCTGCATTTGTTGAAAGCAAATTCTAAATAAACAGGTTGACTGAATCAGATTGTCAATTAAATCCAGATGTCAGTCTTATTGTCCTTTATACACCAGATAACAAAGCATGCAAATGCAAAGGAAACCAGAGAAGACAACCATTTTACATGTAGATAAACAAACACATCAATTATCAAGCATATAATACCTCTAAACAGTGAAAGGTAGTTCAGATGCTACTTCTAAATGAAGATAAGTTGAGAACTGATCCTTTAACTGTGATTCAAGTAAAGAAAACCTATTGCTGTTGGGGAAGTACGGTAGGTTCATTGACTTCTATACACCAAGGAATCATGAATGCATAAATATAAGTGCGAAAGGATTAATACAACGTTTTCTCCAGTGAAAAAATAACCAAATCATATAATAGACCACCCACACATAAATTAGCATCTTCTGAGGCAACTGTATCCACACGTAATCCATCCAGCCTGAATGATCGGTAGCTTGCTAAGGCAAATGTATGACAAAAGTGCAACAATCCACCAAATCTCCTCCAAAGATCCGGACTTTGAGCCAGAGCATAACAGAATCGACTGAACGATCAATCAACAACAGGAACGAATTAAAGCTAGACAATCAAAAGCAACCTAAATCGCAAAGGTGTTACTGATCGACATCACTTGAGATCACCAGATCGCCGCAGGTATTTCGCACCACGAGCCGCAGATCCCACGAGGAGGCCCCAATTCCCACTCGATTCCCGATCCAATCCCTCAGATCCCAACTAATAAAACAACCCATAAACCCAGCTAACTCCAGACCGTCGTATCCAGATAACAGGCGCAGGAGGAAGGTAGGCGACAGGAGGTGGAGGGATCGGCCGGGCGCCGTACCGTGAGGTCGATGCCGGGGTGGTCGGAGCTCCAGAAGATGTCGTGGTCGACGACGACGAAGTTGCCCGAGACGGAGTCGCCCTCGTAGGGCACGAACTCGTGGATGCACTCGGTGTCCGTCACGGTCACCGACAGCGCCTCCGCCCGCCACCCGGCGGCCGCCGCCAGCGCCAGCGCCGCTACCAGCAGCATCGCCGGCCGCCACCTCGCCATGGCCCGCCGGTGGGTAGCTGATCCAACGCTCGCACCAGAAGCACCAGCGCCGCTGGTCTAGGGCTGGGGTTCACGGGGAGTGGGCGGCGAGCTCCGGTCGCGCACGACGGGGGAGGGGAGGGAGGGGAGGGCACGCGAGACGGAGGTCACGAGGGCAAGGTTGCAGACGGGGAGGGGGCAGATGTCGCGTGTTTTTGCAATAAAGGACTCTGCTATTTGCGTAATAGTGCAACATGCCGACGTGGAGTTTGTGCGACGTGGCCGTGTGACTGCGAGTGGCTGCGTTGTCTGACTGCGTGGCCTCCTTGAGGCTTGAGCTGCCGTTTAAAGGCGCCTTTGAGTGATTACGTAAAGAGAATAAAGGAGACGCATTGGCCACAGTGTTGCCAAGTGGCGGACAAGGAGGAGATGGGGGAGGTGCTCGGTGCTCCGCCAAACATAGTAGGGCTAGCTATGGTGTTTTCTTAAAGAAGCTTGGCGTCGTGCCGGTTACCGGCGACATGCCGGTGAGAGGTGTGATGCTGGTGCGTGCGAGCAGCGTCTGATGGCTAGCGGTGGTGGTTCTCCTGAAGATGGTGGCGTGGTGCTGCCTATCGAAGGATTGGTTCTCACCGGCGCTCGCTGCAGATGGATTATCTCCTTTCTCGCTGCTGCGTTGGAGGTCATTATGATGGTGGCTTCATCATGGCGAGTGAGCAAGGATCTGTTTAAGGACGATTCGAACTCATCATCACTGCCCTTGAATGAAACTATTTTGCAAGAACAAAATTATGAGTACTTTGCGAGAATAAAATTACGAGTAAATTGCAAGGTAATAAAAGTAGATAGCTTTTGTCAACAAGAAAGTCATTTATCCTTAGGCAATTGATAACTAGACCGGTAATCATTCATGCAATTTTATATGAGGAAAAGACATGAGCTAACATACTTTCTCTACTTGAATCATATGCACTTATAATTGGAACTCTAGCAAGCATCCGCAACTACCAAAGATCACTAAGGTTAAACTCAACCATAGCATTAAGTATCAAGTCCTCTTTATTCCCATTCGCAATAGCCCACTTACTCAGGTCTGTGTATTCTGTCACTCACGCCACCCACTATAAGCGAATTATGAACATATTGCAACACCCTACAGCGGAGATCTCTCACGTTTGCGCGACACAGAGGGCACCGTAGGACAACACCATAATAAAATATACACTCATACCAACCAAGATCATGATTAATCCATAGAACAAAACGGATCTACTCGAACATCATAAGATAGCCATAGATCATTGGGAAATAATATATAGCATTGAGCACCATGTTTAAGTAGAGATTACAACAGGGAGAAGGGGTGTTACACCGTTGCATAGAGGGGGAGAGAGTTGGTGTTGACGGCGCCAAAGTTGTTGGTATAGACCACCATCATGGTGATTGCCCTGGCGGCGTGCCGGCGCCGGGAGAGAGAGGGGGGGAGAGAGCCCCCTCATTCTTCTTCCTTGGCCTCTCCCCTAGATGGGAGAAGAGTCCCCCCTCTGGTCCATGGCCTCCATGGCGGTGAAGGGACAGGAGCCCCTCTGAGATTGGATCTCCCTCTCTGTTCTCTTCTGTTTCGCGTTCCTCAGATCTGGCCGAAAACCATTTCTTATATTCCCGGAGATCCGTAACTCCGATTGCGCTGAGATTTTAACACGATTTTTTTCTGAATATAAGCTTCCTTGCGCCCAAAGTAGAGCTCCAACCGACGTTCGAGGAGGGCACAACCCACCACCACGTGCCTGGGCTGCCTGGTGTGCCCAGGTGTCTTGTGGTGGCTGTGGGCCCCCGTTTGCGTTGATTCCACCTCCCAAAAATCACAAATACCGCAAAATAATTCTCCGTAAATTTTTATCGCGTTTGGACTTTGTTTGATATGGATATTCTGCGAAGCAAGAAACATGCAAACAATGGGAACTGACACTGGGCACTGGATCAATAGGTTAGTCCAATAAATCATATAAATTGTTGCCAAAAATATGTGAAAGTTGTATAATATTGGCATGAAATAATAAAAAATTATAGAGACGATGAAGACGTATCAGCATCCCCAAGCTTAATTCCTGCTTGTCCTCAAGTAGGTAAATGATAAAAAAAAGTTAATTTTTTATGTGAAATGCTACCTAGCATAATCTTGGTCATATATCTAATCATGGCATGAATATTAAGACATGAATGATCCAAAACAATAGTCTATAATTCAACATAAAGACATCAATACTCAGGCATCCCAACAAACAATCATGTCTTTCAAAATATCAACGCTAAAGAAAGCTATCCCTACAAAATCATATAGTCTTATCATGCTCCATCTTCTTAACACAAAGTATTTATCATGTACTACCCCGGTGTCAGCCAAGCAATTGGTTCATGCTTTTTAACGTGCTTCATCTTTTCAACCCTCACACAATACATGAGCGTTATCCATAGATATAGCACTACGGCTGGAATAGAGTATGATGATAGGGGTAAATATAGAGAAGACAAAAAAGTAAGAAAGTCTCACATCGACGCGGCTGACCAACAGGCTATGAAGATGCCCATCAATTGATATCAATGCGAGGAGTAGGGATTGCCATACAACGAATGCACTAAGAGCTACTCCCTCCGTTCCAAATTACTCGTCGTGGTTTTAGTTCAAATTTGAACTAAAACCATGATGAGTAATTTGGAACGGAGGGAGTATAATTGTATGAAAGCTTAATATGAAAACTAAGTGGGTGTGCATCTAACTCTATACTGAAAAATTCCCATTAGTATATGAAAGTGACAACTTAGGAGACTCTCTATATAAAAAACATGGTGCTACTTTGAAGCACAAGTGTGGTATTTGCATGCCCCTTCTTTGTTTTCTCTCATTTTTTTCTTTTTCTTTTTTTCTTTTTTTCTTGGGCTCTTTTTGGCCTCACTTTTTTTCATTTTTTCATTTTTTATATATTTGTCCGGGGCCCCATCTCGACTTGTGGGGGAATCATAGTCTCCATCATCCTTTCCTCACTAGGACATGCTCTAATAATGAATAATAATGATCATCACACTTCTATTTACTTACAACTCAAAATAAAAATAAAAATAAAAATTACAATTCGATACCTAGAACAAAGTATGACTCTATATGAATGCCTTTGGCGGTGTATCAGGATGTGCAATGATCTAGCGCAGTAGAGATATCAAAAGGCGGACAAGCCATGGAAATATCATGTTATCTATCTTACGATCATGCAAAGCAATATGACAATGAATGCTCAAGTCATCAAAATGAAAGCGATGGAAGTTGCATGGAAATATATCTCGGAATGGATATAGAAAGGCCATAATAGGTAGGTATAGTGGCTGTTTAGAGGAAGATATAATAAGGCTTATGTTGATAGAACATATCATATCACGGGGTTTGGATGCACCGGCGAAGTTTGCACCGACTCTCGAGGCGAAAAAGGGCAATGCACGGTACCATAGAGGCTAGCAAGTTGCGGAAAGGTAGAGTGTGTATAGTCCATGGACCCAAGAACTTGTCATGGACTTAACACGACAGATGCCCTAGCAAAAGGACTTAGGTGTGGAGCCATCGCAACTAGATTAGCTTGAAGGGGTTAAACGGGACAAAGGACACAAAGGATTTACCCAGGTTCGGCCCCTCTCAATGAGGTAAAAGCCTACTCCTGCTTTAGGTTGTATTGCTTGGGTTTCGATTACCAGGGAGTGAATATGCTTGACCTAGTTCTCGATGAGTTGTTTCTCGAGTTAACCCGCTGCCGGGTCACCCCTTTATATACAGGTTGATGCCCGGCGGCTTACAGAGTCCCGACCGGCTCATACAAAACATGTCCGGCTCGGTATCTAACTAAGCTTGCCTTACAATACAAGTTAAACATACGGCGGCTCACACTCATGGGCCTCAAGTCGTCCCTGGGTCTTGGGCCCTCAATAAGCTTTCTCTATGAACCGCCATGTTCACATCTTCTTGGACCTTATCGGGCCTCTTCATCTTTAAGCCGCCAGTGGTATGACCCGGCCCCTCCTAGGCGGGTCATACCTATTGGGGAACGCAGTAATTTCAAAAAAAAAATCCTACGCACACGCAAGATCCATCTAGGTGATGCATAGCAAGGAGAGGGGAGAGTGCTGTCTACGTACCTCATAGACTGTAAGCGGAAGCGTTATGACAACTCGGTTGATGTAGTCGAACGTCTTCACGATCCGACCGATCCTAGCACCGAAGGTACGACACCTCCGTGATCTGCACACGTTCAGCTCGGTGACGTCCCACGAACTCTAGATCCAGTTGAGTGTCGAGGGAGAGTTTCGTCAGCACGACGGCGTGATGACGGTGATGATGAAGCTACAGGAACAGGGCTTCGCCTAAGCACTGCAACGATATGACCGTGGTGGATTATGGTGGAGGGGGGCACCGCACACGGCTAAGACAATTGTCAACTTGTATGTCTTTGGGGTGCCCCCTCCCCCGTATATAAAAGGAGTGGAGGAGGGGGTAGGGCCGGCCCTCTATGGCGCGCCCTGGAGGAGTCCTACTCACACCGGGATTAGGATTCCCCCCCCTTCCCTAGTTGGACTAGGAGAGGAAGGAAGGGGGAGGAAGGAAAGGGGGGCCGGCCCCTCACCCAATTAGGATTGGGCTTGGGGGGGCACGCCCCCTCCTAGTCTTCCTTCTCCTCTCTCCCACTATGGCCCAATAAGGCCCATATACTTCCCGGGGGGTTCCGGTAACCTCCCGGTACTTCGGTAAATGCCCGAACTCACCCGGAACCATTCCGATGTCCAAACATAGTCATCCAATATATCAATATTTTCGTCTCGACCATTTCGAGACTCCTCGTCATGCCCGTGATCACATCCGGGACTCTGAACAACCTTCCGTACATCAAAACACATAAACTCATAATACCGATCGTCACCAAACGTTAAGCGTGCGGACCCTACGGGTTCGAGAACTATGTAGACATGACCGAGACTCATCT